TTTCACCTTTTAAGTTGCATTACTGAAATAAATGAACTTTTGCACGAAATTCTAATTTTTCGAGTTTCACCTATATATGAGAACTCTCTAGGCCAAAGAACACATTCCAGAGTACAAAGTGAGTGCACCTTCTTCCTCCTGCTCTGAGCTTGGAGAACAACTAGGTTCATAGCAAGCTTCCTGGGTGATAGGTATGGCAGTGATGAGACTAGCTTCTCGGCCCAGACGTTTCTTCTCCTCTTCCTGTTGCAGGTTCTTCAGAATGTGTTCTGCTCGTTGATGAGAACGTGATACTGCCCGGGCTGAAAATGATTTCTGCAATCAAACCATTAAAAAAGACATTGGAAAAAGTTGCTTTATTTTTTTTATAAAGACACTTGCTTACTTGAATACTACTTCATCAAACACAACTCAGGTTTATTTTTGTAAATAATATATCAACTATCAGAATTTATCATCCATCACACCAATGGAAAGAATGAAAACATACAAAGGGTGTGTGTGTGTGTGTGTGTGTAATATATATTGAGTGATCTTGAGATTTGCAGGTTATCTAATCCCATTTTGGGAAAAATAAGTGAAGAGCTGACAAAAATAATGAGAACTGAGTTTCACCAAATGTTGAATTGGGAATGACATGAGCGGGATATGGACAACTATTTGGGAAATTAAATAGAATATGTGCTATTGGAATGAAGCAGATAGAAAACTATTTACTGAAAGGTGAAATGATTGAAAAATATAACATGTCTGAAGCCGGAGGAATTTTTTTCTTTAAATATTATTTGATAATGATCATTTCAATGGGGATGACGAACCAACTTCTAAATTGTCTCAACCTTTGTTTCTCTTTTATTCCTCCCTTTTCTCTGCTCTCAAACCCTCCCTGGGCATAAATTAATTTGGTAAAAGAATAAAAGGGCTGTATGTATATCCGATTCTTAACAGTACAGTACACATCTCCTCAAAAGTAAGGCTTTAGAGATGCTCATCCCCAGGCAAGAGAGCACGATTATTTGGCCATTTGTCGCTCTGCAGCTGAAGGCAGTTGCTGGATGTCTGAAAGGCAGGAGAGAGACGGAGCTTCTGTGTTGTTGTCACCAACAGGCTGCCACCCATCAGGCAGGGTGACCTACTTGCGGATCTCCACTGTCTCATCCCTGGCCCGCATTGTGATAGCACCCTTTCCAAGGGTTTGGGGGCAAAGAGGCTGGTTTGCTTCTTGCTCTCTTAATGAATGGGTATTTTATGAAGTGGGCATACTTAAAAAGCAGTCTGGTTATTTTAGGTTGTGAATTTAAACATGTAAAATGTGTAGAAGTATGTGCATTGAAGGGGGAAGGTATGTACTTAGGCAGTTGCCCTGTCTCTGCAGCATCAGTCATGTGATTGAATGAGCGTGGCCAACTTGACGTCCCTCACAGCAAGTGCCGCCCCCCCATGCCATGAGTGATGTTGAGTTGGCATGCCCACCCAGTCACATGACCACCTAGCCACACCCACCAAGCCACGCCCACAGAATCGGTGGTGGTAAATTTTGAATCCCACCACTGCTTGGAAACAGTTGTGCGATTCAACCGGTGTAACAACCAGTTCGATGACCGTGTGGTTCACTCATGCACATGTGCTTCACTTGCCCGTGCTCCACATTTTTAAAAAGCCTCTAATTCTTACCTTCAACTGCAGCCTCTGTGAATAAAACAGCTGAGGCGCAGCAAGCTGCTCTGCCACGTGAATCAGCTGTGCTCTAAACAAAGGAAATAAAGCACAGGAAAGAGCAGGAGCAGGTGGGCGGGCCCACATGCTCATCACAGCGAACGGTTCAGAGCCAGCTGATCATTGGAACAAGGGGTTTACCTGAAGCAGTCCAAACTGGGAGAATCCCATCCCTGCTTGGAATACATTGAGTAACAAAACAAGGGCAGATGGCAATTATTTTCTCAGATGAAGTATTTGGAAGTGCAATTCACTGCAATATTTGAACAATATGCAAGCAATTGCTATCTTCTTTATAACATCCTGTGAAATCTCCCTTCATAAATTATTAGACTTTCAGTCTTCCTGAGCAGATAATAATGTTAGTGTAGTTTTGGGAGGGCGGAGCTGGCGTCGCGACAATATGGCATGCGATCTTGGAGGTCTGAGATCGCTGCCGATATCTTTGCTCCTGGATGGTCCAAATGGATCTAAACCGTCCCGAAGAGATGGTGCATGTAAAGAGTGCATCCTGTCAATCCCAGGGACACCGCAAAGTCCCTGGTAGATCCAGGAGAAGCTCTTTTTGCCAGAGGCAAAGAGGCAGCCATTAAAGCTGCTGAAGTTAGGACAGCTCCGAAACGAAAGAGAACCAAAAGAGAAAGTGTGCCGATTTGGAGAGAATTTTTTCTTTCCTTTAAGATTTGAAAGGACACCCTAAGGAAAAGAAAGAATCTGTAAAAGTTTTGACAGAAGTGATTAAGCGGCGATTTTAAACAGGAAGTCAAAGTAATATTTTTTTATTTTTTTTTCTCATTGCTGGATTTTTTACACATTTTTTACACAAGAGAAAAATTAAGATTAATATGAGAGTAATCTTGGACACTTTGGAATACTACTAGGCACCACCTGGAAAACAAATGGCTTTGATATTTCTAGATGCACAGAAGGCATTTGATAATGTGAATTGGCGATTCATGTTATTACAACTGGAACAGATGGGCTTTGCTAAAAAATTTATTCAAGCAATAGAAGTTATATATCATAAGCAAATGGTAAAGGTAATGATTGAGGGAGAACTGACAGACTCTATTGATATAATAAAAGGAACAAGACAAGGGTGCCCAATATCACCTCTGTTGTTTGTGTTAACCTTGGAAGTGCTAAACAGAAATATTAGAGATGAAAAGAATATAAAAGGGATGAAAATTTAAAAGGAAGAATTTAAGTTGCAAGCATTCGCAGATGATCTGGTTTTCATTCTAGAAGACCCACTAGAAACAGCTTCAAAATTGATAGAAAAGATAGAGACATATGGAAAAGTGGCTGGTTTGAAAATAAACAAAGATAAGACAAAGATCTTGACAAAGAATATGCTATCAAGACAAAAGGAAGAACTGGCAGATCTATTGAAAATTAAGGTCACGAATAAGATTAAGTACTTGGGGATACATTTGACAGCAAGATGCAGTACATTAAAAGAGAATAATTATATCAAAACTTAAGCAGCAGATAGCGTTAGATTTGGCGAAATGGAAAAATTTACAACTGTCATTAATAGGGAGAATATCAACAATAAAGATGAATATACTACCCAGAATTTTATATTTGTTTCAAACAATTCCAATTAGGCTTGGAAAAGATTACTTTGAAGATTTAAATAAAATTGTGTGGAAATATATATGGCAAGGAAAGAAAGCAAGAATAAAGATAAAGCTTTTGCAAGATGCTAGAATAAGAGGAGGATTTGGTTTGCCTAATTGGGAGTTGTATTACCAAGCTACAAATTTGATGTGGATTAAGGAATGTATAACATTAAGAAACACTAGATTGTTGACATTAGAAGGACATGATCTGTTGTTGGGGTGGCATGCTTTTCTATGGTATAAAGGAACTAAATCACAGGAGTATTTTACAAGACATTGTATACGGGAGTCTCTGTGGTTAAACTGGGAGAAGACTAAAAGACAATGCTATTTGAAAATTCCAGTCTGTTCCAGTCTGAAAAGGTGATTAAAAAATTGTATGGAAAGTTATTAGAAATTAAATTAGAAGAAGAACAAGTTAAAGAAACTATGATTGCTTGAGGGAAGAATTTTGGATATGGGATTGATCTAGAGAAATGGCAAAAATTGTGGTTTCAAAATTGTAAAATGACAATGTCAACAGCATATAAAGAAAATTTGTATAAGATGTTTTACAGGTGGCATTTTCCCCCAACAAGAATAGCAAGAATGTTCAAGAACAAATCGGAGAAATGTTGGAAATGTCATCAGACACCTGGCTCATATTACCATATGTGGTGGACTTGTGCGGATGCTAAAATATATTGGACTAAAATCCACACGTGGTTGGAAAAAATGACAAAAAAGCATATAGATTTGAAACCAGAGATATTTTTATTGGGAATTTTACCTGAAACATATAGTAAACAATTGAAATACCTGATTGTAAATGTATTAACAGTGGCTAGGATTGTATTTGCCAAAAATTGGAAAAATGAGAAAATACCATCACAGGAGGAAATCATTAAGAAAATATTGGAATGTGCTGAAATGAGTAGATTGACATTTGAAATTAGAGAACAAGAGGATAAACAATTTTATAAAATCTGGGATCTATTCTGTCAATGGTTAGAAAATAAAACATGGTAATGAAATATGTAGATTCTTAGAAAAAAATAAATATATAAAGATGTATTCTTTTCTTATTATATCTACAAAATGATTGTAGGATAGATTTGAGATGATAATATGAACTGTCATAAAACAATTTAAGTAAAATATGATTATTTCGTAAAACATGAATGAACAAAAGTATAGTCAAATGATTGATTAACAATGATATTAATATATTTAATACTTGATTGAAAATATGAGAATATATACAATGTAATTGTAATTGAAGACTACGAAATGGAAGGACAAAACAATTTGTAAACCAACCGACATACTGTATGTATATATATGGAAGAAGGCTTGATGTTTTTATGTTTTGTTTGTCTATGTTTGTCTTAAAAACCAATATTTTTTAAAAAAATAATGTTAGTGTAGTTTTGTTTCCAGATCCCACTTATCATACAGACATATGAGAAGGAGCCACAGATTCCTAAAGGTAAATTTTGGATTAGCTAGTTTTGGTTGATTTTGCAGCATTTTCTCTGTATGAGGAAAAGAATAAATTCTTGTAATGCTGTTCTAGATTGTTATGCCTAGACTCAATTAGACAAATGATCTGTGTATTCAAGAGCAGCTATAAAAAGCTGATAACCAAAACAGTTCCAGAAGCATTTATTAGAATTTATTAAATTGCATATTAAGAAACAAAAGACTAAGCATGTGACAGCCAATCTTATTTCTAAGAGATCCCTTGAGGATAGATGCCTCGAGGATTTATTAATCTGCCTTATATTTTTGTTTCTCTGTGATTTCACCCTCTACTACAGTTACTTACAGACTGATCTTCATTGATGGGGTCCTGCACACTCCCACTGCACTGGGGAACCCATGGAGGGTCAAACATGGGGACAGATGGCATTCCAAGCACTGGAGAGGGTAGGGTGAAGTTAATACTTGGTGGAGGAATCTGTAAAAATAAGTCCAAAAGATTCAATATGATAGAAATCACTCTTGTACATCTCTCCTGAAAATGCTTTTTTCCAGGAACAAGGAAATGTTAAAATATGAAATGAAATGTTAAAATATAAATATATATAAAAAATATATTATAAAATATAAAAAATGTTAAAATATAAAATATAAAGGAAATGTTAAAATATAAAAATGTTAAAATAAAAATGTTAAAATATTTAATTCTATCCTGAGATAAAGAAGAATTACAAAATACAATTTTTCCTCACATAATAAAATAGAAATTCAAGTAATTCCTTTTTTAGATGTTTTGGTAGTTGGGTTAGGATTACTTTATTTTTTAAAACTTAATTGTAATAAATAAATGAAATGCAGAGCAAACTATTTCTTATCTAAGCAAACTGTCCAAGCACTGTCAAACTGCTGGAAATAATAGAAAAATTAGCTTTGATAATTAGCTTTGTCAAGGAGGGATGACAATGTTTACAGGCCTTGGTATATATCCAGAAAGTTATGTACTGGTTTTCTTTTTTTCTCATTATAGAGCATCCAGAAAACGTATCAGTATTAGGAAATATAGCTTTGAAGGCCAAAGAATTTAGTCATTTTTCTTTCATTATATCATCTTACCATATGCCTTGACAAACATAGTGCTGATATATTATTTCCTCTCAGTTATAAATTATAGGGTTAAAATAGCCATTTGTATGGGAGAACAATAGATCTGCAAATTATGTGAAGGAATGTAGACTTGGCCTTGGGGAGGGGGAGGGAATGAGCGAGGTGTTTAACAAGGGAAATTTAGAGCCCAGAAAAAGAGGAAAGGGTGAAAAAGAAACTCAAATTACTCCCACCTTGATTTTCCTTGATATAAGAGTAGCATAGAGAATATTGTAGAGAGAAACTCTGACAGAATTTCAAGATTGTGTTACTTCATCCCACAAAAATAAAAAGCATTCTTGAAATCTGTATTGTGCCTGCCTTTTTCTTTTTACTTTGCCTACTTTCAAAGGGATATGATAAGAAGCCTTTAAATGGCTTCATTTACACTTCAACAACTATAAGGAATCAGGCTATTTTTTTGGATTACAATGTGCAATTTACTTCATAACATTCTTCAAAAATGATATACCAGAATTTCACTCTCAGTGCTTCTAAAAACTAGAATTTGCCTATCAGTTCCAACTAGTTTAAATCTTCTCAGAAATTCATTATAGCATAGAAAATAGAGAATTTCTATGATTCACTATGACAGAAACTGCTTTAAACAATCAACTTTATTTTGCTAGACAACAAAAACACAAGTTAGAAAGAAAGGGACATAAAAAGGATAAATGTTAAAATGAAAATTTGTTAACATGGACAAACAAAATATTATTGTTACTACAGTATTAATGTTATTGTGATATATGTTATTGATTATGATTGCCTAAAATAATTGTACACAGACAGCACGCTGACTGAAATCATTTTTATATATTATACTAATAAAACAAAACTTTTTAAAAATTGACTTGTTTAAAGTCAATTGTTAAGGCTTCTGATATATATTCAATAATGCAATATTTTTTCTAGTGCTTTCTACAGCTTACAAAACACTGCTTTATCTTTCCCAACAATTGAGCAAGATCATAACTGATTATTTATAATTTTCGCACTACTGTCCAGGAAAAGTTTAGTTCCCCATGCATTTCTACAAAGGAAAAAGAAGAGTGAAATCAGTCACCAGAAAAAATCAAGAAGGAGAACAGAGAATCTAGAAGAACTTTATGACAGGTGTGGTGTACTCAACTAGATTAAATTCTATTCAGAGTTGACGGCAAAATTGGTGGCACAGTGGTTAGAATGCAGTATTCTGATACTTGTTGTTGGGGTGGCTAAAAGAGTGGGTGAACCTTCAGAACAAGAGGCTACTTGTTTTAGAAGGCCATGAATTAAGGTTTGGATGGCCCAGTTATTTATGGTACGACAAAGTTAAAAGGTAAATGTTAATTTTAACAACCATTTTGCTAGATATGCCATTCTAAGAGATCATCTCAGAAACCACCAACAGGCTATTACAACTACATGGCATCATCCTAGCACACAAACCGACTAAAGCCCTCCAAAACATTCTAAGTAAACCCAAAGACCCAGCAGCCCCGGAAGCAAAAAAGGACTCATCTATGATATACAGTGTAAGGACTGTAACAGTCACTATGTAGGTCAAACAGACAGAAGACTAGCAGAGTGCATCCATGAACACTAACTGGCAGTCAGAAAACATGATGAAATCTTTAATTTCACAGAATATGAACAGTTTCAGCTGGTAAGCATCCTAGACTAAGACAAATTAAAAAATACTAGAGAATTCCTGGAAGCCTGGCATTCAGACCAATCAATCATCAACAGGCATATAGAGATAAATAACATCTACCAGAGGGGTGGTATTCAGCAGGTTCTGACCAGTTCTGGAGAACCGGTAGCGGAAATTTTGAGTAGTTTGGAGAACCGGCAAATACTACCTCTGATTGGAGATTTTACAGTATCCGCCCTCTGCCACGCCCACCAAAAGCCATGCCCACAGAACTGGTAGTAAAAAAAATTGAATCCCACCACTGACATCTACCTACCATTCAAAAGAGACAATAACAAAGGTAAAGACCAAAACACCTCCTCACCAGCAATCAGCCCCCAAATAAGCAGACATTAATGCCAAGATTAATATTAGACCAGCAATCAAGAAGGAACTACAAACTCAGACAGACAAGTTAACAGTAAACAATAGCCTATCCAAGAACCATCAGGAACACTCCCACCAACACTGACAGGGCAAGCATCTAGTATATAAGCAGAGAACAAACCTTATTCCCTTCTAGCATTGATGATGTTACCCAGTTTATTACAAAGCTCAGACAGTATCAAGAACCTCACAGTTCAACCCTGAACTACAAATGTTTCCATCTATTGATAATAACTTGACTGCAGATTTTGAATTACATAGTTTGGGATTAAATCATAAAGATTTTGCATACGGATTTTAATCTAGGGAGATAGAACATCAGACCATTTATTTATATTTGGCCAGGAAATAATTAAGAGCATTGTTATGTGATACAGGCTAATATCATGTCTATATCTTGAGGGATCTGGTTTGCAATCAAGCTATTCCCTCATTCTGTGGAAGTTGATTCAAGACACCAGAGCTCAAATTTTCATCTCTAGTCCTTTTGATTCTATTCATAATTATTGAGCGGGTTTTTGTTATTGTTCACCTTAAAGATTTGTTGAGCTCCTTCTTCCATGCGAGGCCATACTTGATATCTAAATCTCCAGAGGGTGTGGAACTTCAGAATGGCATTCAGTCTCTGCACTGCCTCCGAGTGATGAAATTCAGACATCAGCATATCTGAAACTGCCTCTGGTACTTTCACAGCACACAGAAGGAACATGGCAGCTGTAGGAAGCAAATATTCCATGAAACATCTCCCCCGCTCTTACAGTCTGGAAGCATTATTATTTACTGATGTACTTGAAGCTGAGAAGTGGAAGGCACTAGTGGGATTGAACCAGTATAACAATTGGTTGGGTGAGCGCGTGCAGCGTTTGAAAACTGCCCATTTTCAGCTCTAATACTTACCTTCTACTGCAGCCCTGGTGAGTAAAACAGCTGAGGCGCGGCAATCCACTGTGCCGCGCAAATCAGCTGAGCTGCAAAACACGGAAATAAAGGACAGACTAAGGCAGGGGTGGGTGGGCAGGGCCAAATGATCACCAGAACTACCAGTTTGCCTGAACCGGTCTGAACCGGTAGAATCCCACCCCTGGGTGAAAGCACATATTAAGCTTATGAGCAGACTTGATAACAAAAGGAGCAGGAAATTGTCTTTGAATTTCAAGCGGGGAAATATCATGAAGAGAAGACAAGGTGGCAGCGCATATAAACATGGGCTGCATAGGCAAGGTTCTCAAAATCAGAGGAAGATTTCTGTAGCATTAGATCAAAAATCCTCAGAAGCCAATGCTGGGTGAAACTACTATGATAGTTCCAAATCCTTAAGATTGGATTTTTTGCACTCTTGAGGGCATTCTTAGAATGTGAAAGGTGCCTCTTACCTGCTGCACCAGCCATATGTTCATCCATACTGAGCAACAATTCCCATGCTGCAGGCTGGATGTCCCCATACATCTCTTCTGTGAGGATGGGAGCTGCCTTGATTAACAGTGAAAGTGGTGCTGGAGACAGGCTCATCACCTGCAAAAGAAAACCATACACTCAATAGTATAAAATAGGGCCCTCACAAACATATTCCCCTGTTGAGGGGAATGTAGCACACACAGTAAGAGTGCTGAAGTCTGCAGCTTCTTCACAGAGACCAGGTGATGCCAGATAATCTATTATTTAAAAAGATTATAGAAAACTGATCCAAGAAGACAATGCAAGTAAAAATTGGGGAACACCTATCTAGATAGCTTCTACAGTACAGGTAGTCCTCACTTAGTGACTCTTCAAAGTTATGATGGACCTCCACAGAATTATTTTCAACCAGGTTCTGGAGTTCTGATGGCAATATATACATATACTCTGAGGGCATTTGATCACATTTTTGGTTCCTGGCCATTGCACTGTGTTTATGGCCATTTGCAGTCATGTGACTGTGTTTTTTGGTGGTTTTTGCTGATTTTTGGTGCTTACTTCCAATTCTAACAAAAATGGCTATTGAAGAAAATGGGTCGGCTTAACAATTATAGCATTCTTTTCACAACTGCAGTTTTTGCTTAATGACCAATACAAAAAAGGTTATAAAATTGGGCACAGTCAAGTGGTAACCAACTTAAGAACAGCCATGACTTAATGGCAATTCTGGGATAAATTATAGTAGTAAATTGAGGACTACCAATAGATACATTAGATCATCTGAATTATCAACAGTGAATTCATTTAAATCAAGGTAAAATGTGACATTCCCATAGTGCTGAGATAGACTTCATAGAGACCTATGTTACTAGGCACTATGTGCCTCAGTGTAAGGCAGTAAGGCAGGTGAACCATGTTTCCATCATATGTTTCATGCGATGCAAACTGTGCATTGGCAACATTCTACCACATGTACAGTATTAACAGACACCATGGATAATTAAACAGAAGTCAAAGGAGCAATTCACAGGCTTAAGATTCCCTAGAGTTTCTCTACCTGGCACCATGGCTGGGATTCTACCAATACCGGATTGGTTTGGTAGAACCAGTTATTACAATTCTGCGCAGTTTGGAGAACTGGCAAATCACACCACTGGCTCCCACTCAACCCTGATCTAGTGAGTGACATTTAGGGTATATTATTTTCTTCTACTTAGCCAATCCTGACTTTAATGAAGAAAATGCTGAAGCAGAAGTGAACTAATCAATAAGTATGATGTTCAGGGATTGGGATATTTATTCTAGGTGAATATATATTATATAATCCCTTTGAATGATCTGGAAATACTTCTTACTTTTCAATAATGTTTGGATTCTCAAGTGACAGTGCTGGAAAAGAATGCAACTACACAATTACACCTAGTGGCAACTACTTCTAAGCTAGAAGATTTAGCAGGAGTCACCTACTCCTTAATTACATATTAACTGACTATGCAATGTGTTATATGCAGTGCTGCATTTGAATCTCCAGAAATTTAATTAAATTACAGCAGTTAAATTGCTAGATGTGTTATAAAATTTACAGTGATTGCCAAAAACAATTTAAGATGTTAAACTTTAAATGATTTCAAGGCTATCTGAAGAACTATCTCAATGATAGCCAGTCTGAAGGCTAAGATCAGGAGACGCCCTAAAGATACCTTCCCTTTATGGGATTCATTTGTTCAAAATACAAAACAAGTTTTGGGAGAATTTCTGAAAAGGAAAACCACTTTGGAATCTAAGAATGAGGATGTGTCAGAAGACAGATGGAATTAAAAATAGACCAAAAGTTTATGTCTGATGATTATAAAGTAGTTCCACACTAATTCATTGCCTGTGAGATATAGAAAATTGCCACTAACTTAATGTAAGTGCTTTTCTTAAATCTAATGAAATAGAGAATTACTAGTGCTTAAAAACATAGAGGGGTATAAATATGTTAACATATCACATATGTTAAGCAGAGACTTGAACCTGGGAAAGTGAAACAGAAATTGCTTTTTAATGTCTGTTAAATTATTTTTTTTAAAGTGTAAGTAAATAAGCTTTTAACTCCTTTGTTTTCTTGGGAGGGTACTCCCTTTTCAGAGCAGGATTTCCTTTTTCTTTTCTTTTTAAAAAACTAACCTCCCTCCCCCACCCTCTCTCTCTCACACATACCCAAATGCACAGGTTGGATCTTTCTTTCCTCCTGGCCCATACAGGCAACACCCACGCAAATGACTTAGAGTTGGCCATGCCCACCGAGTCACCTGACCACCAAGCCTTGCCTACCCAGTCACATGACCAACAAGCCATGCCCACAGAACTGTTGTTAAAAATTTGAATCCCAGCCCTGCCTGGCACATATATACTGTATATCAAAGGCTAAACATAGTGTTCCACTAGTACATTATTCCTGTAGGTAATGGAAATTCACATTACCTGATGCCTTATGTATTTCAACATCCCAGAGTCTTTTTTTCCTTCAAGATTAGAATCCATCACTCTTTTCTTCAGGGATGGTGTTCTGAGGCATGACTTGTCTGAACACTGAAAAACAATTGACCTAAATAAATCTGAGCGCTTTCAAAAGTTAGCTCATTAGTGGAAACTGGGGATACCATGATGTTTCTGACAATAATACACGTAACTAATGCAGCTTTCCTTGTTGACCAGAAGCCACTGATAATGAGAGAAGCTGACATTTCCTTCTTTGCCTATTTCCAAAATGATGCAGGTTTCACAGGGTTTAACAACCTCAACAGAATGTTGAAACAAATATTTGAAGCCAGCTTCATTCGTCACAACATTTATAAAACATTGTGATATATGCCCAAAAAGAATGAAGCTTGCTGTGTCATGAAGCTTGCTTCCTCATTCATTTGCCCCTTTGCTCCCAGTATCAAAAAACTGTGGCAGCATGGGCAGCAAACAAATTAAATAAATAAATAAATAAAAATACATTGTTTCACTAAGGAAGGATCCTATATTAAACACAGTTCTTAGAAACGCCTCCCGCTTCTATTCACCTGAGAGAGTGTAGCAATCAGGTTTGACAGTGTAAAATAAATGTCTAGGCAGCTGAAAAATGAGTAATTAATGTATTTATTCATTACCTCTTACCTCTTTTTGTTTTTTGCCTCTGGCCACACCATTTAGTAAGTTATTTTCTTTAAGTGAATCCACAGTGTCTCCGTATAAAAGTTTGATCGCCCGGACAAGGCGTGCACACGAACGACTGTGGTGGAGGTAGCAGTGAGGGTGGCAGTAATCAATATGGGTACAAATGAAACTCTGCTGGTTGCACAGAAGTATCATCACCTGGAAACACAAAGTATGAACATTTATAGAATTGCAGTCCTGTCTTTGTGCCAAGAGAAGAATATGTGAACAACCTTTTTTAAATATCAGAAACCATAGACAGCAAAATCTTTGAAATATTTTCAAACTATTTGTCTCCTTTCCCATCCTCTTCAAATTAATATTTCATAACTCTGACAATTAACTCATGAATGAGAGATCTAGCAAATATCTCATACTCATTAATCTTAATTCTTAAACATATTTGTTCAGTTTCATTGTTCAATGAAATGTTCCAGGGCAAAGTGAGAACAAACAATAACTTTTTCCTTTGTTCCAAAGGCCATGACAGAGTTTGAATATAAACTTGCACTTTACTCAGAGTTGCCTAGTTTAAGCACAGGAATTTTATCCCTGCCAGTTGTCTATATCAAATTTCATTTCTGGAAATAATATTTACTCCAGGATTCTCCTCCTACACCCAATTTTTCTTGGCTGAGCAGCTGTGATTGCTTCTTCTTGGTTGGTGTGATGACCCAGGGCATGGCACAAAGACAACACAGTCAAATAAGCAAGAAGAGTCCCTTTATTATCTCCAACTTTGCCCCCAATGTCCAGGTTATCTTCGGCTGGAGAAAAACTCTCCCAGGAACTGCCTTTAACTGTAGAAAATTCAGTCCAAAACAAGGTACACACAGACTGTAACTAAAAATCCAAACAAACAAAGCTGCGGTAATTAACTTGACAGGGCAGGAGAAAGACTTTCAGACCTGAAAGCATGGCAACGGTCACACAGTTGGGAAGATGCAGGAACACAAATAAGCCACAACAATCCCAGATAAATTCACGATTTGCTCCCAACAACTTACTGTGTGCAGCTTCCCTTTTTAAACACTGTTCGCAGCTGCAGCTAATGAAGGGAATCAGGGCCCTTTCCTCCCCCGTAAGCCACACAACTCATTTTGCTCCCTTCTCCCTGCATGCCCTAGGATGAAAAGGGCTTGGGTCTTCCTCTTCCTTGCTCTACCTCTTCCCTGCTCTGCCCAGCCAGACTGTGCCCTTCCCCAGTTTCTTCCACAGCCAATGGAGCCACACTCCCACTCCTTGTCAGCTGTTCAACCTCTCGCTCCAAATCAGATTCCGACAGGGGTATGACAGTTGGTTTTATGAATCCTGGACATGTAAGACAAATTAATTACTTTGAAGATTCAGGAAGCATAATATGAGAGTAGTGGAGAGGGAAAACTTTATCTACATTTCCTCTCCCTCTTCTTTCCATTTTCTTGCTCACTTGTTTATTCATTTTTGCAGTTCCCTATTTATATCATCTAGTTGATAGGGATCTTAGAGCTAAGTAACTAAAGAGTACTAATATAACATTATAATTATAAATATATTGATGTCATTGTCCTCCAAGGAAAATCTTTGGGTTGTCCTATAGTAAGCTAAAGTTTAATCATGTGTGCTGGTATTTTGAAAAATGATATTCTGTTTGATCCTAGTATCTAATTGCAGAGGGCATCAAATGGCAACTGTAGGAAAACTATAAGTAACTAGTTTTCCATATTTTATTTTGTACTAAATTTGATTGTATTCTTTACTAATATATCAACTCACTATTTAAATGGCAAAAGTTTAATTTTATATTTGATTAGTTCTATTTGCTTGATCACAAAATACACCTTGAATTTAAGGAATTCTGAATTCTCCTTCCCCCTCCCTGCCATCAGATGATCCAAGAAACAACTTTAATAAAAACAGCCATTACAGATCAGGGCCAGAGCACTATGGAGATTTGTAAATATAGCTAGATTGGACCACTTGTGCTTTGCCTCAGGAGTTCAATAATCTGTCTAAATTATTCCCTTGACTTCTGGATTTATGTTTGGAAAAACTGTGTGGTATGCTGTTATTACTAAGCCAGGAAACAAGTACAAGAGCTTGAAAGATTTTAGATTACATCAGAGGAAAACTACTTTTAACTTGGGACATCTGAATCCCTCTAAATCATCTTAATTTGGCTCAGGGTCAGTGGTGGGATTCAATTTTTTTTACTACCAGTTCTGTGGGTGTGGCTTGGTAGGTGTGGCAGGGGAAGGATACTGTGAAATCTCCAGTCAGGGGTGGTATTTGCCGGTTCTCTGAACTACTCAAAATTTCCACTACCGGTTCTCCAGAACTGGTCAGAACCTGCTGAATACCACCTCTGCTCAGGGTATAAGATTTAGACACATTGGAAATGCATTGTTTTAATCACATTATTTATCTATTCATCTATCCATTCTGATTGAACTTCGAAGTCCACCAAACATTATCCTGGTTAAAGATCCAACAAATGCACTGCAATTAACAAAATACTATGTTTTGTGTTCATATACATTGTGTGCACAATTATTAGGTAAGTTGTATTTGGAGGATAATTTTATTATTGAACAACTGCAGTATTCTCAGTCAATCGAAAATGTTAACAAACCTCAACCCTGAATATTTAAGAAAGTAAAAATGAGGTTTTGGCCTAGGAGAATATCTACTGTACAGCACTTTCTATTCCTACTTTTGTTTAATGCTGCTTCTGAATGTTTCTTTCAAGATTAAATAACTTTGCTTCTTTCAAACCCTAATGCTTTTCAACTTGCCAATGAACTGTGGGGAGGAAAGGGGGAAATGGAATGCAGAGAATGTATATGGAAATCATGAGAGTATGGAAACCATCAAGGTCACCACTGCAGGGGCTTGAGAAAGAGATGGACTGTTCCCATAACAAGAGGATGTCTCATAATTGGACAGTGTGGTCACCCGGGATGGGGGGGAGAGAGAATAGAAAGCTATTGTTTAACTAGGCAAGTATTTAAGTGGGAACACCAGAACTAGTTTTGTTTCTTCAATACTAATATAGTATATCTAATAAAGTTTTACTTTTGGGAATTCAACTCTCCAGAGTGTTTCCTTGTTTTAGGTTCACTAACTGGACAACTGACATTTTCTGGATTAAATTAAATTCTTGAGCAGTTGAAACCTTGTTATTCATAAAAAAGAACAACTTTAATTTCCCTCTGTTCTGATGACAAACTCTGAATATTATATAATTCCAGGGAAACAATAATAATATCTACTTACATGTAGCCACGTCATATTCCGGTGATAGTTATCTTCTGTTCCAGTGCTGCTGAGCACTTCAGGTTCTATACTAGGTTCACTTGCACTCCAAGGGCTTCCTTCTTAAAAAAAAAAACACACACACATCCAAAAATAGTTGCCTTCTGATGCTAACTCCAAATTTTGAATCTAATATATATGCTTGTAAACCAGACCAGGGGTTTGGAACAATTGATTTTATTCCCCTATATTTTTTAGAGAGAACAGAATAATATGCCAGAAGCATAACAATTCCTAATAGGCCAAGCCCTTCAGGAAGGAATTTGAGTTATAAAATATCACCTCCAACCTTTCTTCATGTCCCAATTATTAGCTAGATTGATCATTACAAGCATAATTTATAGTCACCATGGAAATGACCACTAATCAGGGATAAACCTTGTTCCCTTTTCTGGAAGAGGGGAGGGAGAGTAAGTAGAAACAAAATTCTTGCATAATCATGCTGCTGGCTATTGTTGGTTTCAGTGATTTGCATTGACTGGGCTCCATATTAAAGAAAGATAATACACATATTTCTGCAATGGCAGCAATTTGTTACAATTACTGCCTTGTTAGATCCCATCAAGGGGTTATAGAACACTGGGGTGAGAAAGAGAAATCCTGATGGACATTTGAGAACAAAGGCAGAGGAATGCTCTCTTAGACCCCAGAGTTTCCTGCGTGCACTTATGGTCAATGGGCCTTCCAATCAGACAGAAGTTTAGCACACAATTTGTTGACTGTACTGTAACATTATGGCTGCAATCCTATATCCACTTGCTTGGGAGTTAGCACCACTGAATTCAATGGGAGAGATTTCTCAGAAGATATGCATAGGATTGAACTGAGGCTATAAAAAAGACAGTATTTCAATTACATCCTTCCCCCACCCTTACAGCAAATATGCATTGACTTGGATGTCTACCAGAAGAGAAAGAGCACGGGCAATACCACTGAGACCCACAAAGGGAAAAGAGGTTCAGGTCTAGGATGTATCTGTCTCTGAGTTCTTCTCTAAAATAAATCTCTGGAAACAAATATTTTGGAGATTGACAAGTACACATATATTTATCTCATAGAAAGCAAAATATATGCATATTGTATATATAAGTATATGCATAGTACATACTATTGCAATGAGATGTGTATGTGTGTGAGAGAAAGAAAAAGTGAGTGTATATATACAATACCATATATATTATATATGCTACGATATATAATATATGTTGTTTTTATATATACCTTCCTATTCACAGCATGCATTTGTTTGGCAGTCAAGAAAATGCCTGTACAGAGTCCACACATCAAACATTTCTATTTTTAAAATTTGGCATTCTTTGAGTGGAGCAGCACTGACTATTTCAAAAGGTATCGGCAGGGTTCAAGCTCTGTCCTTGCCGAATGTGAAGTCCATGCAAGAAAGGAAACTCTTGAGTCAAGCCTGGGCCATGGGAGGTCTGCCTAGCCTCCAAGCCCCTTTCCTAGATCTCCTAAGCTAAGGATGCTGCTACCTCAGGATCCCTCTCCCTTTTTTTTTTAACCAAGCTCATCTGTGTTACCTATGTCAGTGACAGTGTCCCTGCTGTGGGACAGCTGCAGCTCCTCATTCTCAGACTCTGAGTCCTGACGGGATAACTTGGTGCTCTTTAGGCTGCCGGCCCGGCGAATGCTGGACAGGGAACCCCCTCTCTTCACCCGGAAACTGCGGGTTCCTTTAATCTGGAGCAAGCGGGAGCCTCCTATCCTGATCTTCCTGCTGGGAACTGTATTAAAAGAATAAAAGAGGACTTTTTCCCCCTTATTTCCCCCCATTTTAAAGTATAATGATGTATATTTTATATAAAGTTATATTTTTCACCCTCCCACCCCTTCCGTCTGCATTTCAATGCCTTTTATTTTTTTAAAGGAAGACCAGTAAGAGGCTCCCTCCAAAGCAACACCAAGATGGCTCTAGAAATTATCCCATATGGGATGCTTTAGTGAAAGGTAAGACAAATCTATTACTCATATTATATTAGACCTCAATCCAGTCATTAGTGTAATTCAAATACTTTACAATCAGCATTATTGGAAACACCACAGCTAAACCACAAATCTATATTTAGTGCCAAACAATTTGCTCGTGTTTACATAGAGAAACAGTTATCTTTCCATGTTTGCTATTAAGACTTTTGCTGTTCAATCGACACTCATCACTGGCTATTGATGACCGAACTGATTGATGACCGAACTGTTCTCCAGATAGCCCAAGGCTGACCACGTTTTGTGATAGAATCATAACTTTCAACCATGTAGCAAGCATATAGTAGGTAGCCTGCTTGCTTAAACTAGGCACGTCATTTGCTTATCCACTCTGAATGTTACCTTGTATAAATCGTCGTCTTTGCACATTAAACTTCAACAGAATTCTACAGAAAAAGCAACAACATGTGGTCCCACTCTTCAGACAGTTCAGAAGTTTTCAGGCATTAAAGACATCTGTGTACGTGTGTGTGTGTGTTTGTGTGTTTGTGTGTGTGTGTGTAATGAGCACGAATATATGGAATGATTTGAAGCACCAGTCACTGGCATGTTGTTCTCCACTCAGCTCTAAGGCAGTACATGGGCATATGCATGTCCAAATGTTGCAACACTCAGCTGTACATCTATTTAAAAGTGAACACACAGCACAAGTCACAATACAAATAAATGATAGTTGTCTCTTGGGGCCAGAAGAAAGGGCAATGATGAAATAGGAAAGATCTAAACTTGTTAAGATCTAGGTTCTTGTTAAGATCTAGGTTTTTAAACAGCTGGGGAGGGAGGAAATCCTGATTTTTATACATTTGCACTCTGCCATGGTGAATGCACAATTTTCTTTGCAAGTGATCACTTTTAACATATGATTAACTGGAAATTTTATTTGTATTTGCATGGGGAGGTAATTTTATTGACTAGCACATTGTGTAAAAAACTATCAGAGAAATATCATATTATTCCTCTGGCAAGATCAATGAATGATTTTGCACAGTGGATTAAAGGATAAGAGATAAATTGTGGAATAAGCTTCTGGGGACTAGACTATTGAATGCATGAATTAAGAATAATTTTTTAAAGATCTACTTGGTATTAAAAAACTTACACCTCAATGCATCTTGTAATTTTTTTTGTGCTACAAGCATGTTGTTGTTGTTTCTATGATTAAATTATAACCAAAATGCAGGCAAAGGATTCCTGTAATAGAAAACTACTTCTAAAATACATATTAGAATCAGTAATACGTATTAGAATCAGTTACAGAAGCTGGAAGGAGAGGAAGGAGCAAAAAGAATAGAGGAAGAATGAAAAGAAGGAGAATAATTTATTATGTAAAACAGCAACAGTATCATTTAGGCTGCATTTCATAGAAATTTCACTGAAGTGTACAAATATTTTGGATAGGAGTGTATAGATTTGTATTTCATCCATTCTAAAAATTCTTTAAAATACATTGTTGTTGTTGTTCCTGACCCCCCTCCTGAAAAGAGAGAGAATGAAAACTTTGTTTTAAACAATGCCAAACACAACAATTCCATTGGCACATTTCTAGTAACATATAATTATTGAAGTTTGTTCTTTATATACTGGTTCTTTTTATGCATATATTTGTAACTTGCTTTATACTGTTGAGCTTAATTATATATTGGTTTTTTACAACAAAGAAGATTTCTTTTGTCAATAATAGGTATTTGGGCATTCTTAAGGAACATTCATTGCTCTATTTTAAATGCAGGTGCCATATCAATTATAGTTTCCAATAAAGAGGAGTTCATTATTTAACTTATTTAAATCTGTCTTCTGAATACAGGATTTTAGTTCCATGATCTGTTAAAAATCAGCACAGCAGTTTAATCTGTACTTAGCTACAATAGTCAATAGATGCAATCAATAACAGATTTTAATTCTGATCAATTGTTTCAGCCTAATGTTCAGTTAATAAAGAAATAAAAGGGGGCAATGTTTATTGTTTTCAAATCGATTTTCTAATTTTTGTGGAAGCTACAAATAAAACCTTTGCTCCTGTATGATATTTGCATCCATATCTGTAGTTTTAATACTAATATATCCCACCCAAAATGACCTCGATCAAATGGGAATATATCATTTAAAAAGTCTACTTGGTCACATTCCATTGCCTTTAAGACATATAGCAACCCAACATTTACAATCTGTTCTTGATTAGAAAATTCACCTATGCCATACGTAATATAGAATTAACTTTTGAGCAAAGTTTTTATAAGGGAAAATGTGTTAACCCTTTTTTTCCCAAAATCATTAACACTACTTTTACTGTGCTTTTAATATATTTAATATGCTTTTAATATATTTGTATTATGTTTTCACTGCCTGATTTATTTTATTATATTGCATTATTTAAAGTTTAATTGTTGTTATTTCTGTTTTTAAGGTTGTACATCTTCTTGGATGCTTGTAGTTAATTAGTGTAATAAGCCATAATCAATAATTAAATGTTGGGAGTTATATATATATAAACATCCAGGTTTGCTTTAATTTCTGTTAGTGCTTTAACTAAGGATATCACTAATATCTATGAAAATGGAAGACATAGATAAAACATATACAATTCTGTTAACACTTCACAGAGATCAAGAAATATATTTTTTAATTATGAGCCAATTTTACGCAACATACTTTTAAACCACTAACAAATGTGAACAGAATAACATAAAACAATAAATTAAAATGAAATGAATTTATATTCTACTTCAAAAAATATTCCTTCGTCAGTTTCAATAAGTTTTCTGTGCAAACCATATCTTATTTAAATTTATGCTTGAGAATGGGCAACAAGAGATACATTCATATGGGCACAGTTAAATGGAGGAAGTAATATTTGGTGCAGCTTTATCATATTTGTCAGACATTGCTAATGCACAGGTACCTAGAGCCAGTAAAAAAGGGCTGCCATATACATACACATCACCAGAGGCACTTCTCTCATATGGACGTACCAAGTCACATGTTATAGGCAGTCCTTGACTTACAATCATTCATTAAGCATCTGTTTGACTGGCACTTCTTGCACACCCTCACTTAACCACATCACTTAGCAATGGAAATTCCAGTCCCAACTGATGTTGTAAGTTTAGGACTACCTGTACAGCAACTTCCAGGAAGGACATGGATTGTATGCCACCTAGAGACACTCTAATGGTGAGATGCATGGAGTATAAATTTAATAAATAAAATGAATAAACATTCAATATGAAGAGTTTTAGATTATTCTTACCTGTTCTGTTGATGAAATTAGTACCTTCCTAAAAAATATCTCCAGTCTTTCCCTCCCAACCACTTTCATGTACCACTGATTCCTATTTTCGCATAACTGTATTGAGAATTGTGCTGCTATGGCAGGTTTATGCAACTTAAATGTCCAAATATAACTGAATATATCCCATTACTATTTTGTCTTCTCAATATATATATTGAGAAAGAGAATGGTGTACTTTATGAGATACTCTGTCATACTGATAGGTTGGGCTGTTATTTACAATATACATTAAGTAGCTACTGACTCTATTTTGGATTGAAACTCTTAAATATTAAAATAGTTTTGTAGCGGTTGTTTTTATGCATGAGATGGCATTACAATGATAAATATTCTACTGCCTGTAGTAAACATGGAAATGTAAGCTTTGAAATTACACATCACATTTTGGTGTTAGCAAACAAGAGCCACAGGGCAGATGAGTTTTAAGCATATTGTAATTTTGGTTCAAGTTAGCAAGATACTGAATTATTTTTAAATGTATATACATGAGCCTCTGGCTATTTCATATACATATACATATACATGTGTGTGTGTGTGTGTGTGTGTGTGCAGGTCTTGGCATGTTCGGGTCTTTTCCCATGTAAGATTGCGAGCATCTTGGCCAAGATGCTCTCAATCTTACAGGGGAAAAGACCCGAAAACGCCAAGACCTACATACCTGTACCCGTGAAAATCTACGAATAGATAGATAGATAGATAGATAGATAGATAGATAGATATTTGTTTTCTGAGGTTTTTGCGGGTATTTGTATGTGGATCTTTGGTTATTCGGTAAAATTGGAAGTAACTTGGCGATGTTTCGACGAAGTCTCATTCGTCATCTTCAGGCTTGTGTCTTCGGCTTTGTGCTTCTCAGAGTAATGTGAGCTTGCAGCTGCTGCTTCTTTTTAACTGTTAGTGGGGGTGTGACTTGATTGGGTGGGGTGTGTTCTGATTGGTTGGGGGTTTGGATGTGTTCTGATTGGTTGGGGGGTTGGCTGTGTTCTGATTGGCTGGGGGTGTGTTCTGTTCAGGTGGGGGCTTGGTTGTGCTCAGGTTAGTCTTAGTTGCTGGGGGATTTGAGCTGGTGAGATGTGGTCCTGTTTTTTGGCTTCGCGTTCGTGGGCATGCCACATCTTCATGGTGGGCGTCCATTCGCTTCATGTATGGGTTGGAGGGGTTTGAAGTGGGCAGTGATGCAGCTGCGGTACGGCTTCTGGTCCGTGGTCGTGTCTCATCATCTGTGTGGGTGTGAGTCTGCTTTCTACATGGAAGTGTGGTGGTAGCATCTTGTGTGGCTCTCGTGGGTGTGGGTCTGGTGTCATTCTTCATGTTAGGTACTCGTTTGTTAATGAGGGCGGGTTTCCTAGCCAAATTTCTCACCAAACAACTACAGCCCTATGCAGAATCCATCAACTCACACATAAGAAACTCATTCCAGTTCATTGAGATCATAAAGAAACAAAACTTACAGCCCAGCGACCTACTAGTGAGCTTCGATGTCATATCCCTCTTCACTCAAGTGCCTATAAAAGAAGACTTGACAGCCATCCAAAACAAATACACCCCCCAAGCCATTGGATCTTTTGTATACCAAGACATCTAGGAAGGGAAGTTGACTGTTGGCTTCTGTTTCCATGGTGAATTGTATTTTGGGGTGTAGGCTGTTGAGGTGTGTGAGGAAGTTGTTCAGTTTTTCTTTCCCGTGTGGCCAGATTATGAAGGTGTCATCTACGTATCTGAGCCAGAGTTTGGGTTTGTGGTCGTATTTTTCTAGAGCTTGTGTTTCAAAGTGTTCCATGTAGAGGTTTGCGATGACAGGTGAGAGGGGTGATCCCATGGGTGCTCCTTCTATTTGTTTGTATTTTTGTCCATTGTAGGTGAAGTATGTATTGGATAGGCAGTGGTTGGTTAGATCTAGGATGTGCTTGGGGGTGGTGGATTTGTTTTGGATGGCTGTCAAGGCTTCTTTTATTGGCACTTGGGTGAAGAGGGATATGACATCGAAGCTTACTAGTAGGTCGCTAGGTTGTAAGTTTTGTTTCTTTATGATCTCGATGAATTGGAATGAGTTTCTTACGTGTGAGTTGATGGATTCTGCATAAGGTTGTAGTTGTTTGGCGAGAAATTTGGCTAGGTTTTGTAGAGGTGAGCCTATGGAGCTGACTATTGGTCTGAGTGGGGTTCCTTCTTTGTGTATTTTGGGGAGACCATAAAGCTTGGGGCATCTGGATGATTTTTCTCTGGGTATGATTCGTTGCTGGATTTCTTCACTGATGGGGGAGGCTTTTATTTTGGATTTGGTAGTTTTTTCTAGGTAGGTGGTGGGGTCTGTCTTTAGGGGTTTGTATGCGGGGTCTTGGAGTAGGTTGGTTAACTTGGTTTGGTAGTCAGATGTGTTCATAACCACTGTCGCATTGCCCTTGTCTGCTGGTAGAATTATTATGCTGGTGTCTTCTTTCAGGTTAAGTAGTGCAGTTCGTTCTTCTTTGGATAAGTTGCTTTTGGGTGGTTTGCTAGTGCAGAGGATGTTGGTGATTTCAAGTCTGATTTTGTTAGCATCATCAGGGTTGGTTTTGGTCAGGCTGGTTTCAACTCCGCATATGATGGTTTCTGTGGGGATGTGTTTGGGAGCGACAGCAAAGTTGAATCCTTTTGAAAGGACCTTGGTTTCAGCTTCAGTGAGGATCTTGTCTGAGATGTTGTGCACTGTTTGTTTCATGTGTGGCTGTGGGGGGGGAGGAGTTGGTATCTGGCGTTGTTGTAGTTTCCTGAGTTTGTTGGTGTGTGTGTCTGTCTTGAGGGTGGTCTGTGTTTCGGCTCTCCAGACAGCGAGTTGTTTGGATTTGTCCCAAAGTAGAGGGTGAATCTTGTTGCTGAGTCTGAGGTGGAGTGTGAGGAGATCTTTGTTGATTTGGTCTAGGAGAAACCTTTTTGTGTGAAGTTCATTTCTGATTAGGGCCAATTCTGTTCTTTTTAGGATGCGTTTGGTGGCTGCTGTGTTGGTGTGGAATTTCAATTGGAAGCTTGTGGGAATTAAATTTTGATCTCGGCAGTTGCATAGGAATGCAAGGTCACATAAAATGGAAGCTCTTTGGACTTCAAGTTTTTTGTAAGTCCTGGTCAGATGGTGGGTTTCCTCCCCGTAGAGGTGCAATATTTGTTTTCTGAGGTTCTCGCGGGTATTTGTATGTGGATCTTTGGTTGTTCGGGTTTTCTCCCGCGTAAGATTCGAAGTATCTAGGCAACGTTTCGATGAAGTCTCATTCATCATCTTCAGTCAAGCCCCCACCCAATCAAGTCCCACCCCCACTAGCAGTTAAAAGGAAGAAGCAGCTGCAATCTCACATCACTCTGAGAAGCAAGAGCCGAAGACAGAAGCCTGAAGATGATGAATGAGACTTCATCGAAACGTTG